CTAAATTTCTGCCTGTGATATATTAATACTTTTAATCTGACTAGATCTATTCCCTCTACATTAACTAGACTTGTTCAGTTTGCTTCTAACTTTATCAGTTCGCTCCTTGATACTACGACAACTCTATTTTTTTTTTTTAAATAACATACAAAAGTTGGAGTGGAGTCCAGGTGATGAATTCATTTCCCCCGGTCTCTATGTTAGTTGCTTCCTTTATTACGTGCCCTTTTGCTCTATTTTCTATTACGTTTCTTCCCATAACCCACATCTTCTATGGTATATATTTCAGATATTACATTCTTCACCTGTGCTATGAACTTTTTTTTTCTTTTTTAATTTCAAGTGGGTAAATTCAGGAAGATCCACAAAGAAAGGAAAGTAAATAGATAAAAGTTAATGCTGATGTGGGTTTTGAGCATAGGGGTCTTCTTGAATTACTCTTTTACTTAATGTTGGTAGGAATATTTTTTGCTCTATAAATCCCACAGTCTAAGTCATCTAGACTGGGAGCTAGATTGTTTTGTCGAACTTGTTTACTCCCATAAAGGATCAGTGATTCTCAAGGGTAAAAACCAACAAATTTTAAGAAGTGATTACACAAGGCCCCACAAATGGTTTGATAGTTATATCTCCTGGCCTTTAACATATGTTCCAGTCCCTAGATTCTATTCATTATTCATTCATTCATGCATTTATAGATTCATTTATCAAACATTTTCGAGCTCCCAATATGTGCCAGACATTGTGCTATGGTTCAATAACTACTTGTTATTTGCCACGTTACCTACATTTACCTCAGAGATTCTGTTGGAATGGAATTATCCCCAATCCTTCCTGGATAATTGTGAATTCTAAGGAGTTGTCATAAGATCCATCATCTGGCACGACTTTTATTGATGTTCAGATGCCTGGAGGTAAACCTCCTAATACTCTCCAAGTCTTTATGTCAGGTTTCCTAAAATGATCCTCAGACAATATAGTATTTGAGGTCACTGCTGCTGTCAGTCCTCTGTTACTGACGTTACTCAGGTATAACACAATATACTTTTTTTTTTTCCCTGCTAACCAAACCCACTGCTATCAAGTTGATTTAGACTTGTAGTGGCTCCATAGGGTTTCCAGGGCTGTAAATCTTTATGGAAGCAGATTGCCACATCTTTATCATGTGAAGTGGCTGGTGGATTCCAACTGCTGATCTTTTTGTTAGCAGCTGAGCACTTTAACCGCTGCACCACCAGGGCTCCTTTTTTTTGCCAAAGGACTGTGTACTGTTAACAATATTACAAAAACAAACAAACAAGAAACCAAAACTCTGTATAATCTAAAAATAATGGCTCTCTTTTTTAAGTGATACATTATAGTGGAAATCAAGAGGCTCAAATAGTTCTGGAACTTGATAATAGTAAGATCTGGACTAGAGAATAAGGTGCTAATGAAGTTCTTTGTCTATTAGTTGGGTATGCAGCACACTGTGATGTCATCCACCAGGAGCTCTTTGCTTCTTGCCATGTCTACATTAGCCCTGGGCTGTACTATCAGCTGTGCCGACATGATGCATGCAAATGTGGAAGTGCCTGCCTATGCAATGCTCTTGCCCACTATGCCTACCTCTGTAGCCAGCGTGGTGTTTCCATTGATTTTAGAGCCCAGGTTTCATTCTGTGGTAAGTACTGTGGCACAGATAAAGACTCCCAGGTAATACTTTAGAGATATTTGCTTTTGTAATAGCTGCCTTCATTTTTTAAATGAAAAGTCAATATTGCATGTAAGTTATTCTAAATCTTCCCATAATGTATTAACATGCAAAGAAAATGAAATACCTAGTTTCTTAAAATTGGAGATTTGTCAGATAAGACCAATAACTTTTGACAATTTCTGTTAATAGCAAAATTGGAGTTTAACTATATGTCTTGAAATATGCACCAGAAACAACTTGGAGTCAAAAATTCTTGACATGGAAATGACATATCTAAATATTGGAAAGTATAGAAAAGTATTATGTGATAAAATTTCACAATTGATTTGTCGTTATATAGGTAAGTTATGCAAAGGACAATTATTATCTCAAATTCTTGGGGTGCTAATCCTCATGGTTAGTATGTCTGCTGAGTCATTCACGGTGGATTATTTCCTCTTGTGTTCTATAATTTCTGAACTAATCTTTAGTAGGCCTTTTTATTTTTTGATAAGAACCTTTTGTGGCCCTAGTTTTGGGAGCATTCCTTTACCTACCTTCTACCACCCAGTGGTGTAACAAAGCTTTTTTCAGGCATTCCAGGGATATCATTTGCCAATTTTGATATTAATTTCACAGCTTGGGTTTTGTAAGACAAAAATAACATAAATATATAAATAATATAAATTCAAATATCAAAACTGCAAGATGTAAGCAGGGATTTTTATTTCTCAGAGGATACTTTATTTCATCACAGACCAGGCAGAGTTAGATAAGCTTTCCTGGCATCTTTCTGTACTATGAGCTGATTTCCTCTAGTCCAGGTGTTGGAAAACTACAACTCTTGGGCCACCTGTGTTTTTTGTAAATAAACTTTTGTTGGAACACAGCCACCCCCATTTGTTTATGTATTGTCGATGGCTGCTTTTGTGTTACAATGACAGAGTTGAGTGGTTGTAACAGAGACTGTATGGCCTTCCAAACCAAAATATTTACCATTTGGCCCTTTACAGAAAAGTTTGCTGATTTCTGCTTTAGTTCATTCTTTCAAATGAGGCGGAAGCTCTTTGATGATCCAAGCTAGGGGTTTCCCAGGTCCTTGCATTGTAAAGGACCAACTTTCATCTTCCATTTCCACAAGGATTAAGTCCAAGATCTTAGATTACTGGAATCGAGCCTCCCTTCCCTCACTCAAAGTTCTGGATTTTATTTTTCTCTTCACTTAGGCACCTCAAGATTCTCCTTCCACTCCTCTCCCCCACTTTTTTATTTTTCTCACAAGGTCATTTGTACATTTAAAATACTTACACTTTTTTTTTTTTGTCCAGCATTTGCTTGGAGTCTGTAGCAAGTGAGTCTTTAGATTATTTTAGTTTGTCTACTGCGTTCAGTTCAGTTTTGTCTAAAGAGAAACTATACCGCTTTAGAAAAAAAGTATAAACATGACTAAGAAGGCAGAAAATAAGAGCCATGAGTATAGATAATAAAGTCAGGTTTCATTTTTTTTGGAGAAGACTGAAAGTTTCCTTAAGTTTATATAATGCTATGAAGAAGATGATGATAGTCTAGGAGTAAATAGACTTCAACAGTGAGGATAAGAAGTTTATTTAGACAAAAAAAAATATTAAATATTACAAAAAGGATCATTAAATATTACAAAAAAAAAATATTATGGTCCGAGTTATTAAAGAGTGTTATGAAATGTCACAGTTAACGTATTTTAAAACATTATTTTTATTTTTCTGCCATAGTTCTAGTTTAGCAGGGAATTGGTTTTTCATATGTCTGTTCTAGGATTCTGTAATGTTTATGTTTACTGATGTAGGGTACCATTTTTTCCATAATTCATGTCTATCATAGGCATATGACCAAAGATAAATGGTTACTGTCCTCTGTGGAAATCGTTCACAAGTGGTGCTCCTTTGTTTCTTAGCTGTGGTGTGCCAGAAAGGCATGTTGTACCATCACTGTTCCTCCTTTTGCCGCCGCTCCTGCACTTCCCTCTCTTCTCCAGAGCAGTGTAATGATGATTGTGCCGAAGGCTGTAACTGTCCCGAAGGCAAATACTATGAAGACACACTTAGTTTTTGTGTGCCCATGTAAGTCACAGAAAGGGGTTGACAACATTGAGTCTTTATTCTCTGTTTTCTTCTGATGGGTGAAATGGTCTTTTGTACTTGTTTCTTTAATATTTCTTAATATCTTGTCTTTTCTTTTTTTTTTTAAAGTTGTACATGTTCACAAATAGCTACAGAAAGAACTAAGGAATCTGATGGTTAATCCTGAAGCTTATTCCTACATGCTTTTGCCAAATCAGAATTAATAACAAGTTTTATGTTTCACTGTCATGAGGAAAATTTTAATAGGAGGATATAATATTTGACTGCACTCAGAAATTTCTCAAATCCCACATGAGATAAAAACATTTGTCTTATACATATAGTCATGTTTCTCTGAAGTGCGCTGAGGGACTTTTCTTGTGACTAAAACAGCACAGTTTTCGAGTCGCATTTTAGAAAGCAAAATCTGAAGCCACACAAGACTTCCCATCTAAACAGTTTCTGCTATTTGTATAATATGACTGCATTTGTTCCCATAGAATAATGCCAAATTTAACGTGCAGCTTAAAACAACCAATATGGAGCTTAGGATATGCTTGAATTTTTATGTTTTTTTAATTTTAAATTTTTATTTTACTAAATTTTACCCTATTTTTTTTTCCTTACAGATTTCACTGCCGGTGTCATTATAGGGGCAGCGTTTATCAACCTGGAGAGCTCATCCCAACACCCTCAGGCTTATGGTAGGTTTCAATGATGGTGATTGTACTTGATAAATGACACAGTTTCTTCAGCAAAACTGTAAATTGAAATATGAATTCTGTAATTTAAAAATAAACATAACCTAACATTACCTTTAAAGCCATATGGATATTACATTTCAACATGGAACACCTAAGTCTTGCACTCGTAACTGCACAAAAGAGTTGTGAATTTAAGTGTCCAACAAGGTGAAAAGGAAGCCCTTTGATCAGTCTTAGTTCTTAGATAAAAGTTAGGGTGAGGTGAGTGTTCAAATACTGTAAGTTTCTGAGGTGGCTTTAGTTTTGTGGTTCATCTACTGGCTCAAAAAGCAACTCCAAAATTGACTTGAACAATGTCACACACTGACCTGAGTACCTGAACAGCGTCACACACTGATGTGAGTACGCTTCCTCCGCAGGGACATCAATCACTTGGGTCCTGGTGAGATAACACTCATTCGTGAGATAACGTTCACTTGGGTTGTAAAGTCTGTTAAAATTCAGGCTCATCCATGCAGCAGTCCACACATATCTATATCCATTTCTTAACTTCTCTCTTTTAATTGCTCCAAAGGCACCCACAGATAATAATACACAATGTATAATAGTAATAATAATAATATAATATAACAAATAATAATGATATCTGACCTTACTGCATACTTGATATGGTCCTGACACCGTTCCAAGTGCTCTGTATCTATTAAAATACTTACTCATCACAATAACCCTTAGAGATAGATACTATAACTGCATCCGCAGTTTATAGATGATGAAAGTGAGGCACAGAGCAGATAAGCAACCTGTTTAAGCACAGATCACACAGCTGGTTGGAAATAAAATTGGGTTCAGTTCCAGGCAACCTGGCTCCGCAGTGCTTTACTTTGCTGCTGACTTTGCTCTATAGCTTATTTTGTGTTCACAGCAGATTGTTATTGATGCTCAATTTACATTTATCATTATCTCCACCTCACTCCCACCACCAGATCAAGGCACAAAGGCAACCAGCTCTTGGCTGTTTCTCTAGTAGATTGTACTAATATTCACAGTTTCCTAAGCTAGAAATCAAGGAGTGATTTTTGACACCTTCTTCCTGCTCAACACCCCTAGCCAATAAATTCCTAAATATTCTGAGTTTTATTTTTTACATGTAGTTCAAATCCATTGCCTCCTTTCTATAGCACTGCCTTAGCAATCTTGCTCACCCTCTCTCCCCTGGACCTTCCTAACTGGCCTTCTTGCCTCCACTCTTTCTCCCTTCCATTCTACCAAGGTGTCACATCTCTCTTGAATTTAAATTAATTTAATTTATTTATGTAAACTTGGCAAAAACAAAGTAAGAATTTATTGCTATGAGAAAAAGAAAAATTTAGTTAGTAGGAGTGAGTTCATTTGCCATTCCACTCAAAAAGCCTGTGTCCCAAAATGAGTATGATATGGGAGATCTGGATCTGTGACTTCTTCCTGTCTGCCTCGGTTCTTCTGTGCCACTCATAGTATGAGTGAATCATATCTCTGAGTGTCATTCTAGTGTTAAACGAATCGTAAGCATATGTTTGCATGACGTGGCTCTTATATGTGAGTTCCTTCTTCAACAGGCCTCAAATATAGAACACATGATCTGGTCCAAAGATGGAGGAAAAACTGTTTATGTTGGTGCTATTGAGAGTTGGTGTGTTGCTCCCTGTCATGATCTCCTCCAAAGGGATATTCAAAATTAATTTTGGTTATATGTGGTTTTTGCCTTATGCTCAACTTTAGAAATTAAATCATAAGGAAAATGTGACTCCACCCTACCTTCCATACTGCTGCCAGAAGAATTTTGCTAAAATTCAGATCCAACTATATCACTTCTTTGTTGAACGTCTTTAATGGCTTACAGAAGGGATAACATCTTAGTTCCATAATAGGAGCTGGAGTCTGCCTATTTCCCCGTCTGCATCTCCTGTCATTTCTCTCATTGCACTTTATGTTACATGGAACACTGTTTTCCCCTTCATGGTTTTGTATATGTCTCTACTGAATGGTGTAACCTTCCTACCTTTTTCATATCATAAGCTCCATTCATTCTTCAAAAATTTTCAGACTTCACTTCTTTTGACTGCCCTAATGTCAGCTATCAACAGATTTTAAAATATTTTTCTTTGTTTTACTTTTGTATCTTAAACATATTTCTATGTTGTATGTGTCATACTGTATACATTTTATTTATATATTTTTCTTTCCTACTAGTATATAATCACTTGGACAAAGGCTATGAATTTTGGCCTTTGTATCTCTCATGACTATCACAGATAATAGGTGTCCACACATATAGGTTTTGAATAAACATTTGTTTGACTGAAATAGACCTAAGCCATTAACTTAGAGCTAAGTTTAAAATGGGCATAAGCAAATAACTTATTTGTAAAACATTCTGTGGGAAAAAAAATAGCATGTGTATATGTACTCAATAAGTTATTGCACGTTAGGTTGCTTTTGATATACAGACAAACTGAGGTTTGGGTTGATAAATTAATTGTTTGTTTACTTCTATTAGCCAGTGTTCAAATGGAACAGTGCAGTGTGATGAATCAGCAACGCCCTCTACTGGTAAGATTTAGATATTTTCTTAAGGAGAAGGTTGCCTCTAATACTGCCCCACTCTACTGGCAGACATCACTCATCCATCATAGTCCTCCTTGCCACTACACATGAATATAGCCTTGGAAGTGTTTCTCAGTATGGTCCAGTGCTTCCTAACTTTTCACATTGAGAATTATAGTATTTGTAGGACAACCTGGGGTCAACAGAGAAGTTGTTTAGGAGCAGAGCTAATCAGTCCAGGGGTGCTGCCTGTATGCTGCCTACCCCAGGACCAATCCAGCTGCCCCAAGAACTATAGGGTCTGTATCTAGGTGCCAGTTGTAATCTTTTTGTGGCACTGAAGTTGGGAAACTCTATTTTAGACCAGTACTTCACAGATTTTAATGAGAGTCACCTGGGGATCTTGTTGAAATGCAGATCAGGGATAACGCCTCAGATTCTGCATTTCTGTCTATAGCTTAAAAAAAAGAAGTTGCCATAGAGTCAATTCCGACTCACAGCGACCCTACAGGACAGAGTAGAACTCCCCATAGGATTTCCAAGAAGCGACTGGTGGATTCAAACTGCCAGCCTTTTGATTAGCAGCCAAGCTCTTAACCACTGCACCACCAGTGTTCCATCTGTGGCCAAGGTAATGCAAATGCTGATGGTTTGTGGGCTACATGATTTGTAGCAAAGCGCTACGGGCTACTAGCAATTAATTAAAATGACATGTGGAGTGAGACTTACTGCCATCTCTCTCTAGATTAACATTTTTCACTTAAGTATCTTTCCTGAAGGTCCTGTGTATCAGGAGGCTCTTCATTGTTGTTACTGTGTGCTGTTGAGTCGGTATCGACTCATAGCGGCCTTACAGTAGGACACTCTATATATTATTTATTTTCACCATATAAAAAGCCTCAAGCTCTGAGTACTTGTTGAGAAATTCTAGACAAATCACAATGCTTCCATTGATTTTACTGGACAGGAAGAGTATATACTGATAAAAGGAATTGTAAGCTATTGCTTTGCTATTTATTTGAATGATCATGTATATATTATTATAAATTAGCTTTGAATTTATGCCCCTGAATTTACTTTATGAGGATTCAGGCTATCCTAGTGCTTCTTTTCAGGGCAATGTTATACCTTCAGGACTACACACTTATTCAGTAGCCCATAGGACCTTTCCTGCTTTGCCCTGTTTGCTTCAGGGTGACTCACAGTTAATAAAAGGGGAAGCCCCGGAGATCTGCTTCTTACGGAGAAATCCACAAGAGTCTATTCTAGCCTTATTTGATCCCGGAGAGCTGGAAAGCTTTCCAGAAGAATAGGATAGCCCCTCTTCTGGCTATAATTATGTCTGCTTCTGCACTTCTACAGTGCAATGAAGACTGAGCTAAATAATAACTACGCAAAGGCAAAGCAAGATCTAACAGTATTATGTGCTCATCGTGGCTTTGTAGAAGTTTAAATTCTTAGTCTTTGAAAATTGATAATATCTGTTTGGATGAATCAAAATACCCTGTTTCTTGACCTCAGAAAATTATATGCTAGCTGTTTAGTTACTGCCTTATGGAAGACAGCTAAGGATTTTAGACTCAAAATAGGTTTTGGAGACTTAAGATACTAATGGGTATTCATCTAGGAAATAAGTGTAAGCTCACAGAGTGAGCGTTTCATCTAGTAATAACTGGTAAAATATGATGACTTTTGTTTTGATGACGAATGCATGTCAGTATGAACGTTTGCCTATTGGGTGAATAAGAGGAGTGTTTTATCGTTGTTTTTGTCTTTGAAGTTCACGCCTGCCCTGAAGGAAAAGAATTCTTCGACTGCAGATTTCCTGATCCTGAATTACCAGCTGGTGGTATAAATTGTGAGACTACATGTGCAAATCTGGCCATGAACTTCACTTGTGCACCATCCTCACCCTGTATAAGTGGCTGTGTTTGTGCTCCAGGGTAAGCCTATTTTTCTTGATAATTCAGAACATTCAGGATTTGACAGAAAGGCACACAATCTCTTAAAAACATCATTTACAGAAATAGCCAAAATTGCTGTTCTGACTGGTGATTAACTTTGTGTTGGTAGTTAGAAGACTATAATTATTAAGCATCGATTAGGAGTTGTGAGAAGTTTGTGTGTATGTATGTACACACGCACACACACACATTGAGTAAGTGAGTCACTATTATATAACAGAGTAATCTATTTTCATCTTCATAAAGTTCCTTTATAGCATAAATGCCTGATTCCTGTGAAATACAGAATCTAGTATCTATTAGTTCCTTGCAGGCACACATATAATTTGGCCTCATTGACCTTCCTTCAGCTGGTAATGAATAGAGGCAGTACACAGAGGGAGGGTCACCGAAGGCAATCAGGTCACCCATTCTTCCTCTATTAACGTGTTCGCACAAAGGGATTCCTGGGGCCAGCTCTATAAACCATGAGCAAAGAAGAGAGAGGTCTTGTGGGTTTTTTTTCCCAGGAGAGTCACGTTTGTCTAAATGGCCCACATTTGGAATAGGTCAAAAAGCCAAATAACTTGGGACCGGTATCAATCTCTTTAGAAAGGAAGGACATAGGAGGCAGAGAAAGAGGGTCAAGAACAAGTACCCACGTGTGGGAAAATAAAGGCAGGTAGAAATCAGGCTGTAGCACAGATGAGCATTTTACATTTTAGTAAAAGGGACATAAAAGAGAAATAAAATCTTCATTATGGTAAAATAATTGAAACCTACAGTGTCGTTTGATTTGATTATGACTCTTAGGGATGCATTACTCTTAGGGATGCTGATTAAATAAAGCCATATCCTAATTTTGTTTCATAGGCTTGTGCTTAACGTTATTATTAAAAAAAGCATCTATTTACTATCATCTTTGACTTTTACTTCAACAATGATTTATTTATTTACTGGTCAAATCTCATTACAAACACTTGAAGGAATTTTGTCCCACCTTGTCTTATTGCGTTAAAATAAATACAATTGGAATTGACTAAAAGGCCATTGAGTGACCTGGAAATAATTTTATTCCGTAGAGCTATCTGTTATAAAGTTGTTTGTGGTAATATGACTACCATATTACATGTGATTACCATGGCTCCTTTTGGAACAATAAGCCTAGCATCGCTTGTTTTCATGGGGCTTCTGATACTGTCAGCAGTTTAATGTCTGTAAAAGACCACATACCTTAATTTAGAAATCACCTGGGATTGAACAGATGGCAAGTAGATAGTAGAAAGAGTCAGATAAAAATGGGTTCAAATATTGGCCCTTTTTCTTATTAGCAGAAGGATTTTAGGGCAAGTTGCTTAACCACTTGGAATTTCAACTTCCTCTTTTTAAATGGGTATAATAGTATCTGCTTCATGGGATAATTGAGTGTATGTCATACTTCAGGCCGATGGTAGGTGGTTGTCCTGGATTGAATTTATGTCTCCCCAAAAATGTGTGTAATAATTTGGCTAGGCCATGATTCCCAGTATTGTCCTCCATTTTGTGATTGTAATTTTATGTTAAAGAGGATTAGGGTGAGATTGTAACACCACCCTTACCCAGGTCACATCCCTGATCCAATGTAAAGGGAATTTCCCTGGGGTGTGGCCTGCACCACCTTTTATTTTACAAGAGATAAAAGGAAAGGGAAGCAAGCAGAGAATGGGGAACCTCATACCTCCCAGAAAGCAATGCTTGGAGCAAAGCACATCCTTTGGACCTGGGGTCCCTGCATGGAGAAGCTCCTAGTCCAGGGGGAGATTGATGAGAAGGCCAACAGAGAGAGAAAGCCTTCCCCCGGAGCTGGTGCCTTGAATTTGGACTTCTAGCCTTCTAGACTGTGAGAAAATAAATTTCTCTTTGTTAAAGCCAACCCCTTGTGGTATTTCTATTTCAGCAGAACGAGATGACTAACACAGTGGTGAAAAACTGTTGATTTTATTACTTACCCCACTGCCTAAATATGTTTAAAGCAGTTAAATTAAGTGATTTTTAGCTGAGATCTCTCTTCTTTCTTCTTCCAGTTTTGATTAGTCATGAAGCACTCAGCAGCCATCAGCTCAACAGTTTAAAACCACTACTTAGGCTGATATATCGAGATTGTGATTCTTTTAGGTGAGGGGCAATCCTTACCTAAACAATTGGACAACCGATGTTTATAGAGCAGCTAATGTTTGCGGCATTGTGTTAAGCTATGGGTGGAGGGTTGGATACTAAAATACATATACGAGATAATAGTAGAGTCTACCTTATGAAATTGTCATTAGGATTAAATGAGTTACTGATATATTTAAAGTGATTAGAGTAGTGCCTGGGCCACAGTAAGCACTCAATAATGTCTTATATTATCATTACAAGACATTTAACAAAGTACTTACAGTTTAGTGTGATGTTTCCCTCAGTAGAGGTTTGTATAAAGTGCTATGTATAGGGATCCTGTGAGGGAGTTGGGAACATAAAGAATTTCACTAAATTGAGTCTTAAACGATGAGAATGTTTTCCAGGCAGAGCAGGGAAGGAGAAGAGATTTCCAGCCAGAGGAAAGAAACAAAGCAGAAGGAGAGTGGCTAGAAGTTTGGGAGGTTTGAGGTGAGAGTTTATGGAATCTAGGGCATTGCTGGTCTGAAAGAAGAAATCTGAACGAGATAATATGTCCTCTGTGTAGATAGGGAAGGAGCCCTGGTGGCGCAATGGTTAAGCACGTGGCTGCTAACTGAAAGGTTTGTGGTTTGAACCCACCCAGTGGCTCTGTGGAAAAAAGACTTGGCGATCTTCTTCCCTAAAGATTACAGCCTAGGAAACTCTATGGGGCAGCTCTACTCTGTCACATGGAGTCGCTATGGGTCAAAAATCGACTTAATGGCACCCAACAACAACATATAGATAACTGAGCATTCACTATGTGCTAGGCATTGGGAGACAACCATCAACAAGATATTCATGGTCCTCCCAAGTGGCACTTATACATATTAAACAAGGAATTTAAGCACAGAGTTAGAAGAGGTATAAGAGGGAAAACAGAGCACTAAAAAAAATGTGATTATTTCTACTTGAGAAAAAAGGCAAGACTTCTGTGTTAGTTTTCATCGCATTGAATTATAATATTTTAAAGCAAATTAAAAAAAAACTTTGTATATTTTATCAATTTTTTAGTAGCTGTGAAAGCTATTCTGGAAAAGGATTTTAAGAGTGTTAAAATATACATATATATTTATTTATATTAAAGGTATTGAAATATGCATTATACATACTGTTATTTATTTAACCTATAGATCAAAATATTTCGATGACATGCAAAAAATTAACTCTTCCTTGAGATTATTGATAATGATTTTGTTTTAATTTTATACTCATAGATTTTTTTTTATTGTGCTTTAAGTGAAAGTTTATAGTTCAAGTTAGTCTCTCATACAAAAATTTATGCATACATTGTTATGTGACCCTAGTTACTCTCCCGATACTGTGACAGCACACTCCTCCTTTGCACCTTGGATTTCCCATGTCCATTCAACCAGCTCCTGACCCTCTCTGCCTTCTCATCTCGCCTCTGGACAGGAGCTGCCCATTTAATCTCATCTATCTACTTGAGCTAAGAAGCACACTCTTTACAAGTATCATTTTATATTCCATAGTCCAGTCTAATTTTTGTCTGAAGAGCTGGCCTCGGGAATGGTTTTAGTTTTGGGGAACAGAGAGTCTGGGAGCCATGTCTTCCGAGGTCCCTCCAGTCTCGGTCAAGCCATGAAGTCTGGTCTGTTTACTGGAATCTGAGTTCTGCACCTCACTTTTCTCCTGCTCAGTCAGGGACTTTCTGTTGTGTTCCCTGTCAGGGCGGTCATTGGTGGTAGCTGGGCACCATGTAGTTCTTCTGGCCTCAGGCTGATGAAGTCTCTGGTTTATGTGGCCCTTTCTTGGGCTAATATTTTCCTTGTGTCTTTGGTGTTCTTCGTTCTCCTTTGCTCCAGGTGGGTTGGGACCAATTAACATATCTTAGATAGCCACTTGCAAGCTTTCAAGACCCCAGATGCCACTCACCAAAGTGGGATGCAGAACATTTTCTTAATAAACTTTATTATGCCAATTAACCTAGATGTCCCTTGAAAAATTTTATACTCATAGATATTTTACGATTTTTTTCCCCACAGGATTATCTTTCAAAAAGGAAATGGCACTTCAACGGAAACCAACATTCAAAACTTAATATATTAATAATGAAGAATGCAAAACACTGACGTACTGACATTTGATTTGAAATGCACCTAAACTAAACTAACACTCATGATTTTCACTTTTAACCTTCACAAAGGGGCTCCTGATTATTCTCTGTGTCCTACAACAGAAAACATTATCCATTCGCAATTTACTACTATTTTGTCAAAAAATTGTTAGATCCCACAAACTCTTCTTTTAAGTAGCAAATATGGGAAAAGGGCTCTCATTTCTTCTCTAAATGTTTTTTTCAGAATAGCTTACTCTATCTATAGATTTAGGCTTCTGTCTACATTTTATAGTACTAAGTGATAAAAAAAAAAAAAAAGGTTAAAATATTACCAATCATTCCCTTGGTGACATGCAGGTAGTTGTAACTGTGTGGATAGAAGGGTGAGAACGACTGAATTCAAACCTCCAGCAGGTCAGATAAAGCATGTATGTGACATCTATAGTAAATATAGATGGTGTTGAATAAAACAAGATTAGTCATATGTTTTTTAAAAACTGAAATTAGTAATTTACACTAAATGGCATTTACTTCTTCATTTGTTAGAATGGCAGAGCACAAGGGAAAGTGCTATGTTCCTGACAGCTGTCCCTGTATTTGGAAAGACTGGGAGTACCTCTCAGGAGAAGTGATTGCAACACCGTGTTATACCTGGTAATGAGATCCATTTGTTTCGCAAAAGTTTCCTAAGCAATTATACTAGTTTCAGTCATCTTGTATTCGCTTAACATGACTGACTTCAAAAAGGAAATAAATCAAGCCTGAGCAAACAAGATTGTGAAGGCATCCAGGACTGGGTGGAGAGCTTCTGTCTACAGGAAACCAAAACATTATTTTTATGCATATTTGTTCAGCTCAGAAGAAAATTATGAAGTATGACAGTTTGAAAACTTAATAGGAAATAATATCTCAAGTTTATAAGAAACTATGATAAATGTTTCCAAGATAAGATCACATTTAATAGAAGCCTTTCTGTTTGGAATAGAGCAAAATAATACTATTAAAAAATTGAATTATCATTTCCTTCCGATATGAACAAAGATTTGAAACTCATGAGCAACGTCACGCCTAATGTGTTTACATTGACTGAAATATAGGAGATGGCATTGTGGTCTTTTGGCTACCAGCAGACCTATGTTCAAGTTTTCATCCCATCACCTGCTGTCTGTGTGGCCTAGACACAATTTCTTGCCTTGGTGTATAGTCTGATTGTTTAAACAGAGTTGTAAATACCTGCCTCATTTGTCAGCATAATAGGTGTTATCTAAATGAATTGTTTTTATTTGTAAAAGCTACTGATGCTGTGAGTACTCTTGAATACAAACCTTCCAGTGTTTATACTGCTTGGAAAACAATAACTAGAGCAAAGTTTCTGAGAAATGTAACTGGTGTTATTTTCTGATAGTGTTTGCCGAAGAGGAATGTTCAATTGCACATATTATCCATGCCCAGCAGTGTGTACCGTTTATGGGGACCGGCATTATCATTCTTTTGATGGGCTAGAATATGACTACGTCAGTGATTGCCAGGTTTTTTTGATAAAGGTAGGTCACAGTCTTAAATGCTCATGTTTATTTGCATTTGTCCAAAGACTTAATTTTAAAAGGAAGTATGCTGATCAATGGTATCTCAAATTCACATGTCATAACCTACAAAAGTTATAGTGATTTTAAACTAGTTTACTCGACTGATTCTATTTTTTATTGTGGTACATACATACATACACACACATACACACACGTCAAAACATTTGCCAAGTTAACATTTTTTACAGGTACAATTCAGTGACTGTGATTACGTCCATCATGTTTACACTATCACCACTATCCGTTTCCAAATTAGTCTACCACCAATAACAAAATCCTTTTGGTACCGTTGTGATCCTCCTTTTTGAATGATTTAAAGTTTCTTAAAGAATTTATCCTTGGGAATGTGGATTTGGCGGTCATATAATTATAGAGGATGCCAGGTTGCCTGTAGGGTTTTTTTTGTTTTATTTTGTTTATTTTTGGAGCATAAGGAAGGCTGAGTGATGAACATGCGTTCTGTGGGTATTTGTCCTCTCTGTACAAGCAGTTTTATGTTAGCATTGTCTTATCCCCTAAGGTGTAGGTAATAAACTGAGAAGCTGGGAAAAGCATGCAACAATTTAGAGATTTGAACACATAAACAGATAGCTCTTTCTCAAAATGTATCAGACTGATTTTGTACTAAATCCTCATTTCGCTTGATATTTAGGTGCCTCTGTCACTTTTAAGTTCTCTCCTTTGGCTTTCTGGATATTACACTTTTTAAAAAGTTCTCCCCTTTGATTTCCTGGATATTATGCTCTTTGAGTCTTCCAGTGTCTCTTCTGGTTTCTCCTTTGTCTTTTTGTTGCCTTTTCTGCTTACATAAACCCCTGACTGTAGATGACTGAGTTGGCTGCTTCAGGGCAAGGACCAAATCTTAGTCATCATTGTTCGGTCAGTGGCAAGCAGAAATATTTCATGTAAGTGAGATTGTACAGTATTTGTCCTTTTGTAACTGACTTATTTCATTGAAAGGGCTTACAAGTCTTTGTTTATTAAATGTTTATTGAACTGAATGTCTGTTCTTGGCTCTCTGCCTTTTTTCTCCCAACTCTGGGTGTGTTCATTCGCTCCGGCCATCATAACCACATCTACAGGCTGATGAGCTCCAGATCAACATGTACAGCTCTGACCTTCAACTTCTAGACTGTCTTTCTGACTCAGGTTGCCCTCTACAATAATACATTTTTTTCATTCTAGATAATCTTTCTAAGATTCACACTGTCATTGTGTTACTGCTTTTTGAAAACTGCAGTGACTTAATTATCAGCCTCATAAAGTCAAAATTCCTAGGCCAGTCTTTCAGGGGTCTCTGTAGGTTAGCTCCATCAATTCTGTTTGTCTTTTCTCACGATGTTTTTTTTTTTTTTTCTGTGTCTGATTTCCTCTGCTCCTTTGAAGCGATGTTTCCAGCTCACATTGATCCATCCTTCTCTTACACACTGTTGTATTTACAGTCATCATGACAGAGTTAAGCAGCTCATATTTTGATTATCTTACATGTGATCAACTAGATTGCACATCATTTATGTCAGAACTATGTGTTCCCCTTGTTTTGGTTCTTCATAGGAATGAGCACAATTATGGCTGCATTATAAGACCTCAAAAATTACTTGTTGATTGATTTTTTTTAAAAATTATCTGCTAGAGATTAGAAAACACAAGCTTGAAATTTTTAGTTGTACTAATCTGGTATCTGTGATGAATGCATGTAAATGAGTTCAACATGAAGTTTGTAGAGCAGCACTTCCTAAACTTTGATGTGCAAGATCACCTTGTTAAGGTGAGATCCAGGTTAAGATCACCTGGAGATCTTGCTATGGATTCTGATTGTATAGGCCTGGATCTTAGATTTTGCATTTCTAATCAGCTACCAGGTGATGCTGATAACTCCTTGTTCACTGACCACACTTTGAGTAGAGACGATATAGAGTCTTTTTCGTTCTGAAAAGAACTGATTTTAATTATTTTTATAATTCTTCTATTCTTCTGAATAGTCAACTATAAGCCACATCCAGAAAAAAAAGTATCTTTGACAATACCATGCCAAATATGATAAATTTCATCTCTAATTGGATATATCATTGTTAGTTTAAAAAATGCTTCTTTTTATGATATCATTTTAAGTAATACAATAAAATTTCTGGCAACTTTTGTTCTCATTGTTTCCTATGGAAAAAATTTTATGTATAAGTGCCTGCTAAAAGCATTTACAACATCTTCCATTTATTATTCTCTCTACAGACATTTTCCAGTGTGTGACAAAATCCTTGATTGTGAATTATTATTCTTTTAACGAATAACTTTTAGGGTCTATTAAATGTAAATTGTGCTAATAAAGAATATACCTACTGTATATTCTCTATATGAGGACAGTTTTTTTAAAAAAAATAAAATTCTAAAGTTTTGAGAGGAGGGATCGTGCCTTACTTTTTTTCCCTCCACTTCCCCAAGTCATTTTGCAGAATGTTGGGCATTTGGTGAACTCTTAATTACTACTTATTTGGTTAGTGCTGTATGCCTGGCTTTTTCTTAGCCCCTTATTTGTCTTTGAAGTAGAGAAAGCACAGTATTTATCATTGTTTTCAAATAATGATTGTGCCGAGATTATTTCAAGTAGAGTATTTGTCCCAAATCTAATTCCTGTCAAAATGAAAGCAAATTCTTGTGTTTGTTGATGGATGGATTGTAGCAATCTCTTTTTTGGTGCTGCAGTGTGTAACAGTGCCAGTCCATTTAGCAGGCAAGAGCCATTAAGGCTTGGCGTTTAGCCTTTATAAACTTGATTTCCAATTTTCACTTTAATTTGCCACTATATCTTCTGTTAAAATAAATGCATTATGTTCAGTTTCAAATTTTCACGAGATATGTCTGCTTATATACCAGAAACCATGTCACAGGAGACATTCTTTCGATCTTTCAGTAAGCAATGAAATTTGGATCACTAATTTAATATCTGGATTAAAATCTATCGTCAGGGTTCATTTAGTAAGAAAAAAGACAAGAAGGTATTAAAAGACTAAAATTTCAAGTTCTAGAAATGTATATACCTTTCTTTTTTCTGCCAAAGCAAAAATGTTCTTTTATAATATTCTTTTAAAAGTTTGTTTACAACTAATAGAATCCAGAACTTTTACTGTATTTGATAACTTACAAAAAAGAAAACTACTATTAACAATTAATTAGAATTATGTTAACGAATTGCTTATCATATTATAATGGACATTTTTACTAAAATTAATGACACCAGAAACAGGCCTCCAAATTTTTTTCAGGAAAAATTGACCAAGACATTTTCGATAAGCCAAAAAATATTTTATTTGTACATGAAGCAGATATTTATTTTATGTTCTTGTTAGTTGCCATTGAGTCTGTTCTGGTTCATGGCTACCCCATGTGTGCAGAGTAGAACTGTTCCATAGCGTTTTCAACACTCTGACCTCTTAGAAGCAGATGGCCATGCTTGTCTCCCTAGGCACCTCTGGCTGGGTCCAAACCGCCAGTAGTCGAGTGCTTAACCCTCTGTGACACTGAGGGACTCCAGTGGTTAACAAATGACATCTAATTTCGTGGTCTTGAAATGTGACCGTGCTGGATAGTGAATTTGTCCATGCTTGTATTTTATCTACTTTAACTCTTCTTCAGGAGTATTTTGTTTTTTTCTTTCTCCATCTGCCCAGCTTTCCCATGGTAGAACCTTCTCTTTTTTCTGGAAAAATTTATATTTCCTTTGAGAAAGGGAGGATGGCTGCCAACACCATTGATTTACTTGATGATTATTTACTAACAAGAATCACTTGTGTGAATAACAGATTTAATTCTTTCTTTCCTGTCAACCAGCTCTCTTTCCTACATCTTGATAAGTTCCAGGCTTTACCTTTGTGGTTTCTAACATCTGTTTATCTGGTGAAACTTTCTTTGATGTGGTTGAGCTGTGTTGAGGATCTAGTAATCTAGTTCATAAAAATTTCCCTATTTCCTAATTGGGACTTAAAAAAATTAATACTTACTCAGCTTTGTTTTAAAAAGATACTGTCACTTGACCCTACATTTGAGGAGAAATTATTCATTTTTTCTCATCTCTGGATTGCTTAGTTTTAGATGTAACCGAGTTCTAGGTACATAGTAAATACTTACCATATCTTTGTTGAATAGGAGCCCTGGTGGCATGGTGGTTAAGAGCTCGGCTCCTAACCAAAAGGTGGGCAGTTTGAATCCACCAGCTGCTCCTTGGAAACCGTACGGGGCAGTTCCATTCTATCCTGTAGGGTCGCTGTGAGTTGGAATCGACTCGACGGCAACAGGTTTTATTTATTTATTTATTTTTCGAATAAATGCTGTTAAACTTCGCAGCTTTAGGTTCGATAGTATTTTATTTGTTGTGAAGCCTTTTTACTCTTTCTAAATAGCGCATGGTATAGCGCATTATTTTTCAAGTGCGTTGAAGCAAATTTAGGAGAAAGTTCATAATTGTACTTCCTGAGGTAGAAGCCTCATTTTAAGAGAAAATTGTTGAGGAACCAACCAGAAACTTGACCTGTACTATAAACTCAAAGAAAGAGCGAGTACTGTATGTTTTAGCAAAAAATGGGAAATACAGTATTGAAACTCCCAGATTTCAGAGCCAGATACCACATCTGTTAGTCTATGATGAGCCATAGTCACTGCTAGGTCTCTTCCTATAATTTGTTCGTAAGTTTTTCAGCCGTTCTCTTCAGGTCATGGCTCATATAATCACTGTTCTCTTTAAGCTTCTGAAAACCTTTATAATTTCAATGCTGTCAAACTGCTATACCTTACATCATTTTTTCACATCAGTATTTCTTAAGTGCTTTCTATGTGCCAGGCCATATGCCAAGCAGTGAAAGTATAATGATGAGCAAAATAGTCTTAGACCTTACCTCCTTTGAACCTTAGGCAGGCAGGACAGAATTTTTAATCACCTAATCTAAAAATTCACATACATTTACAGTTGTTAAGGTCAACAATGACCTAACTGACATATCCAATTGCACCTTTTAAATTTTTATCTTCTTTTATCTTAAAATCTCTCTCCCTTTGTCTTCTCTGATGTAATTCTACTGGCTCCTGCCCTTTGTCTTTGATCTCTCCACAGTCTCCTTTGATGGCTCCTTTCTTCAAGAGTTTTTTAAAATATTGGGGCTCACAAGGTTCTGTGTCTGCATATCTGTCTCCTCTACAATACTTAGTTGCTTGTGATGTCATTGTACCTTGATGGGTGGACTCTGTTTTATTTACTTTCTTATCCATAGGGAATGAAAACATACAGAGAGAAGGAAGTCAAGGAAAATCCATTACACTCTGTTTAGGCAAAGATAAAGATCTAGACAGAACTAGGTAGAGCTGTCTCTGCAACAGTAAAATGCAAATTAATGGCATGGTCACTTCACAATGTCAGTTTGTTATACTGTGGTGCCTTGTATGTTGCTATGATGCTGGAAGCAATGCCTCTGGTATTTCAAATACCAGCAGCATCACACATGGTGGACAGGTTTCAGTGTAGCTTCCAGATTAAGACATTAGGAAGAAATACCTGGCAATCTTCTGAAATTTAACAAATGAAAACCTTATGGATCACAGTGAAACAATGTCTGATTTGCTTGCTTTGGACACGTCATCAGGAGGGATCAATTGTTGGAGGAGGACATCATGTTTGGCGAAGTAGAGGACCAGAGAGGGCAAAGGAGAACCTTGGAGAGATGGATTGGCACAATAGCTGCAATGCTGGGCTTGAACATACCAGTGATCATGAGAATGACACAGGACTGGGCAGTGTTTCATTCTGCTGTAAATAAGGTTGCCATGAATTGAAGTCAACTCAGTGGCAGCTATTCTCTTTTTATTTATTAATTTATGAAATATATGTCTACTGTCTATGCTTTTATGCTAGGAGCTGTTAAGAATACAATTATTCAGACATTTACCCTTAATTATTTTACAGTTTGAGGGAGACATGAATGAACAAGAAGCTATAAGACCAGGCCAAGTGTAACTGATGTTGGCTAGAGAAAAAGACAAAAGTTTCAAGGAAGGGGGAGATATTAGTGCTGGGTCCCTAAGGATGGAATATTTTACCCCATTATAATTCACTTCTTCTTTATCAATATAATTTCAAATAGATTTCTTTCATAGGGAAGCACTTCAGGGTCTTTCTCAGTGACATACTGGTTAAGCTCTTGCTATTTCAGGAAAAAAACAGTAGGAGTATGTTGTGGTAAGTTGCATGTAAAACCCAAGGGAAATGACAAGAACAAACCAGTTGCTCCTGAGTTGATTCCAACTTATGGCGACCTCATGTGTGTCAGAGTAGAACTGTGCTTCATAGGGATTTCACTGGCTGATTTTTCGGAAGTAGATCGTCAGGACTTTCTTCCAAGGTGCCTCTGTATGGACTCAGATCTCCAACCTTTTGGTTAGCAACTGAGTGCATTAACCGTTTGCACCCCCAGTGACAAGAACAAAGACCAAGGAAATCCTAGAACAAGAACCTTAGCTCACCTAGTTGAAGCTGGGAGCCGAAAGGTGGTTTTGCCAGGCAGTGGGAGCTCATGGGTGCTCTGGTGAAAGTCATGCAAACTGATCAGTCTCTGTGTGACCGCTGTGTTTTCTGCCTGCTCGAGTCCACTTGATATCTTTACTTTTGCTGCCATTCAGTCATTGTTTCTGCTTCCTTATGGGTTCATCTTGCCCTCATCTCTTCAGCCCCTACTTACTTTACCATATAGCCTCTCTCTATTTACTCTCTTTATTTACTTACTGAAAAACAACTCGTATTTGTTTTAACCCAGTATTTTCTGGTTCTAATATGAGAGAGAATCTAATTGCCTAGAGTTATCTTTTTCTGCCAGCATCTTAGCCCATCTATGAATGTACTGCTCTTGGGGCCAATCAGCTATGGGGCATAAAACATGGCTTCTTGAGTCTGCTAAATCAGCAGGGCCTTGCATGGGATTTCTTTTTGTTTGGTGCCATCGAGTCGGTTCCAACTCATAGCGACACTGTGTACAACAGAACAAAACACTGCCCAGTCCTGCGCCATCTTCGCAAGGGGCTGGGGCTGTGACAGGTGCTGAGGCTGACGTGTCTCGTACAATAGTGTCCTAACTTGAGAGCTGGTGACAGTTTATGTTTTTGGATCATTTGGGAAAATATTCTCTATAAGATTTTCAGTGCCTGAAGACAGAGGATTTTGAAGATCCCATGGGGCGCATTGATGCTGACCTTGTACCTCTAGCTTTATAATGATTACTTACTGTGTTGCTTAGCAAGTTTGTAGCATTATCTTCAAACCTAATATTAACTTGAAATACATTAGAAATAGAAATCTAAAGATGTAACTCTTGGGGATTGCTATTATTTCAAGTTATTATCAGCATAACATGATACTATAAGACAGCCCATACAATATAGACTATTCTGTGGAATTTATGATGTAATATAAAGAATAAAGCTAACACTGAGGCACTTTAATTAGTAGTAATAGAAGTATAATGGTAATAGAAAGCTTTTCAGCCAACTTTTCAAATCCTTTAATCCAAATAACTCTTCCCCAAGAGGAAGAACTAAACAAAACCCTGAATTTTTCATTTTCTTCTTTGAAAGTCATTCATAAAGGCAGAAAAGTGTGGCATTATTATTTTTTGAGCAGTATAATGCAACAATCATCTTAATGACCCTTATTGTTTTCGCTTTCATAATGTAGGCAGTGCTTTGCAAAAGGATTGTTTAAGAAGAAGCAAAAGCTCTCAGCAACTATGGGGGGAAAATGAGTCATAGAGGGACACATTAATTATTCCATCAACACTATTCATTCAAAACTTATCTTCTAGGCACTATGCTAACAGTAATTGATAATGAGACAGGAAGAATTTGGCCAAACCGAGAAATATATTGAAATAGTGTTCATATTGCTCGTGATGTGAAAAACTAAATGTGGAGAATTTGCATCAAGACCTATATGATTTCCAAACATTTAATGACTTTTCTCACTGTAAGAATAAACACTGACCCATATGGTTAAAAATGAAAAGGATTCAGGAAGTGTATGTGGGCCTTGAAAACTGGACAGTGAGTTCAAAGAGAAATGTCACATTTCTTCCTTTTCTGTTGATAAAATTCTCAACATCCTCTGTTAGTGGGAGGACTCGTAGTGAAATGGTTTCTATTTTCTGGGGTGATAGGACTATATTGAGAATTTGATGAAAGCCATGCACTCACTCCCTAAAAAAATACACGTACTCATGAACGATTCTTTGTAATTAATTTCTGAGATCTGTAGAACTACAGAAGAGTATTCACGAACCCAGGATACCAAGTTAGAAACCCCCATTCTAAGACAGAATAAAATCTAAGGTAAGAGAACGTACTCTTAATAAATGGAGTGGGCTGTGGCCAAGAATGGGGGGATAATTAGAGGTGAGGGTGTTAGAGTGTTTGAGGCTAAATAATATTCTCAGAAACTAAACAGCCACTGTAACCTAAATCAGACTTTTCTACTCAACCATCACTTACACCCTTACTAATTTCTTTACAAGGGGTATAAAAAACAGAGTGTGGTTTTGAATTCTGTCTCTGCCCTTATTTAGCTAAGTGGCTTTGGACAGTCAGTTAATTCTTCTTAAGTTCAGTTTCCTGATCTGTAAAATGGAGATAATACCTAATTTAAAAAAAACATAAAGATTAAATGAGATAACAGATATAAAGCCCCTCATTCAAAGCAAGCACTCAAATGATTTGTATTATTTTATTTACTAACAAATACCAAATTTTTGTATCTATTTGGATGGTAACTTGTAAGCAAATAATTATCCAGAAAACTCCTTAAAATAAAATAAAGGACATGATGTCTAAAATGGAAATATTTATTTTAAAATTCCTGTAAGAGACTTATTGTCTTGTTAGGTATTTATTGATAGAAGAAAATGTTAATGGTTGATAAATTTGAGCTGTATTAATACAATGGAAAAATGCTTTGTTAGAACAAAATTTTAATAGAAGATAGTAGATGTAAGTGTTTAAAAATTGAGCTACCTTGGTGTATTTCTAGAAAACTCTTCACAGTATTAGATATAAATTTTTTTTATTTTAAAGGTAAGTTATAGTTCAACATTAATGCAATTCATTATAAATCTTGTTCTTTAAGATTTTTAAAAATAGAAATAAGTAAATTTGTATATATAGTATACATTTGTAGTAATGAAGTATTTTTGATATTGCAGAGTACAGATGATTCGGATATATCCGTCATTGCCCAGAATAAGAAATGCTTTGACAACGATATTGTTTGTTCTAAAAGTGTTTTGATTTCCATTGGGGACACTGAAATTTACCTGAATGATACTCCCGACAAACAGGTTAGTAAAGTATTTCCTTTAGGATCATTTGAACTTTTCCTGATGATATTTAAAATAGAAACAATATGGAGTACTTTCTTTGTACATGATTACAAGATCTGTATTTTTTTTCTTAGCCGTTTTATGTGGCTTTAGTAAATTATACTTATCTCTTTTGTTGCATACCATTTGTCCATTTCCTCAGTTCTTTCCTCTTTCCTTCATTACCATGGTCACCATCCTGGCCCTAGCAACTGTTACCTATTAAACCTGGATTGCTTTAATAGCCTTCAAACTGAGCTCCTGGCTTCTAGCCTTGGTTCCTCCCCTCTAATCTATCCTGCCACTCTGCAGCCAGGATGATTCTCTAAAATGGAAATCTAGTCTCCTGTAGCTCGGGTGTTTCAACACATTCAAATTGCTTCCCATTGCCCTTACAAGGCCTTACCAATCTGGTGATTGCCCACTTCTCCTGCCTTACCACTCATCACTTTCTACTTTGAGTCCATGTCCCAGAAATTGGAGCTCTTATCAGTTTTCTAATTGTCCTTTGTTCTTTCCTTCGCTTCTGGTCCTTCATGAATGTCATTGCTTCTATCTTCATCTACCTTACCATTTAACTTGTATTTAAGTGGTAGGTGTCATCTTAATTCCTCTAAGGAGCTCCCCCTCAGGCCCTCTAGCACTCTGTTTTAACATGCATCTCACTTTAGTGCAAAAACTTGTGTAGTTGTCAGTCTTCATCATTAGTCTTCGAGTTCTATAAAAATTGGGACCAAAGTGTCCTTTGTTCATTCTGTATCCTTTGAGGCTCCCCAGTTTTAAAGAATGAAAAAAAGTCATTCATTTATCCATAACGCCATTTGTGGTTGTGTGCCATTGAGTGAATTCCAACTCATAGAGGCTCTAGAGGACAGAGTAGAACTGTCCCATAGGGTTTCCTAGGCTGTAATCTTTAAGGGCCTCATGCGTCTATCAGTTTGTTTACTGTGGTGGCTATCATGTTGCTGTGATGCTGGAAGCTATGCCACCAGTATTTCAAATACCAGCAGGGTCACCCATGGTGTAAAGGTTTCAGTGGTGCTTCCAGACTAAGACAGACTGGGAAGAAGGGCCTGGCAGTCTACTTCTGAAAAACTTGGCCATTGAAAACCTTATGAATAGCAGCAGGACATTGTCATAAGTGCCGGAAGATAAGCCCCCCAGGTTGGAAGGCACTCAAGATACGACTGGGAAAGCGCTGCCTCCTCAAAGTAGAGCTGATCTTAATGATGTGGATGGAATAGTAAAGCTTGCGGTGCCTTCATTTGCTGAGCTGACATGACTAAAAATGAGAAGAAGCAGCTGCAAACATCCATTAAAAATCAGAATGTGGAATGTAGGAAGAAGGAATCTAGGAAAATTGGAAGTCATCAGAACTGAAATGGAATGCATAACGATCGATATCCTAGGTATTAGTGAGCTGAAATGGACTGGTATTCGCCATTTTGAAACAGATAATCATATGATCTATCATGTCAGAAATGACAGATTGAAGAGGAATGGCATCACATTCATTATCAAAAAGAACATTTCAGGATCTATCCTGAAGTACAATGCTGTCAGTGATAGAAAAATACCCGTATGCCTATAAGGAAGACAAGTTAATATGACTATTATTCAAATTTACACACCAACCATTAGTGCCAAAAATGAGGAAACTGAAGATTTTTGCCAGCTTCTACAGTCTGAAAAGATCAAACATGCAATCAAGATGCATTGATAATTACTGGTGATTGGAAAGCGAAAGTTGGAAAGAAAGAAGAAGGATCGGTAGTTGGAAAATACGGACTTGGTAGTAGAAACGATGCTGGAGGTTGAATGATAAAATTTTGCAAGACCGACAACTTCTTCATTGAAAATACTGTTTTCAACAACATAAATGGTGACTGTACACGTGGACCTTGCCAGATGGAATACACAGGAATCAAATTGACTACATCTGTGGAAAGAGACAATGGAAAAGCTCAATATCATCAATCGGAACAAGGCCAGGGGCTGACTAGGGAACAGACTATCAATTGCTCATGCACAAGTTCAAGTTGAAGTTGAAGAAAATTAGAGCAAATCCACAAGAGCCAAAATACAACCTTGAGTATATCCTACTTGAATTTAGATACTATCTCAAGAATAGAGTTGACACATTGAACTCTAATGACCGAAGACCAGATGAGTTGTGGAATGACATCAAGGACGCCATACATGAAGAAAGCAAAAGGTCATTAAAAAGACAGGAAAGAAAGAAAAGACCAAAACGGATGTCAGAAGAGACTCTGAAACTTGCTCTTGAATGTAGTGTAGCTAAAGTGAACGGAGGAAATGATGAATTAAAAGAGCTGAACAGAAAATTTCTTTTCAACAGGCAGCTTGAAAAGGCAAATTAAAGTATTTTATTGAAATGTGCAAAGGCCTGGAGATAGAAAACCAAAAGGGAAGATCATGGTTGGCATTTCTTAAGCTAAAAAAACTGAAGAAAGAACTCATGCCTCGAGTTGCAATATTAAAGGATTCTACAGGGAAAATATTGACAGATTCAGGAAGCATCAAAAGAAGATGGAAAGAATACACAGAGTCACTGTACCACAAAGAATTGGTCAACATTCAACCATTTCAGGAGGTAGCATATGATCAAGAACCCATGGTACTGAAGGAAGAAGTCCAAGCTGTACTGAAAGGAATGGCAAAAAACAAGGCTCCAGGAATTGATAGAATATCAATTGAGATGTTTCAACAAACAGATACAGTACTGGAGGTGCTCACCCATCTATGTCAAGAAATTTGGAAAACAGCTACTTGACCAACTAACTGGAAGAGATCTATATTGGTGCCAGTTCCAAAAGAAGGTGAGCCAACAGAATAAGGAAATTATTGAACAATATCATTAATATCACACACTAGTAAAATTTTGCTGAAGATCATTCATAAGCAGTTGCAGCAGTACAGCAACAGGGAACTGCCAGAAATTCAAGCCAAATTCAGAAGAGGATGTGGAACGAGGGCTGTCGTTGCTGATGTCAGATGAATCTTGGCTGAAAGCAGAGAATACCAGCAAGGTGTTTACCTGTGTTTTATTGACTATGCAAAGGCATTCGACTGTGTGGTTCATAACAAATTATGGATAACCTTGCCAAGAATGGGAATTCCAGAACACTTAATTGTGCTCATGAGGAACTTGTACGTAGACCAAGAGGCAGTTATTGGAACACAACAAGGTAATACTGCATCATTTAAAGTCAGGAGAGGTTTGCATCAGGGTTGTATCCTTTCACCATACTTATTCAGTCTGTATGCTGAGCAAATAATCCAAGAAGTTGGACTGTCTGAAGAAGAATGTGGCATTAGGATTGGAGGAAGGCTCATTAACAACCAGAAATATGCAGATGACACAACCTTGCTTGCTGAAAATGAAGAGTTATTGAAGCATTTACTGATGAAGATTAAAGACTACAGCCTTCAGTATGGATTGCACCTCACATAAAGAAAACAGAAATCCTCACAACTGGACCAATAAGCAACATCATGATAAATGGAGAAAAGATTGAAGTTGTCAAGCATTTCATTTTACTTGGATCCACAATCAACACCCATGGAAGCAGCAGTCAAGATATCAAACGACATACTGCATTGGGCAAATCTGCTGCAAAAGACCTGTTTAAAGTGTTAAAAAGCAAAGAGGTCACTTTGAGGACTAAAGTGCACCTGACCCAAGCCATGGTATTTTCAGTTGCCTCCAATGCATGCAAAAGCTGGACAATGAATAAGGAAGATTGAAGAAGAATTATGGCTTTGGTTTATGGTGTTGGTGAAGAATATTGAATATTCATTGACTTCCAGAAGAATGAACAAATTTCTCTGGAAAAAGTACAGACAGAATGCTTTCTAGAAGCAAGGATGGCCGGACTTCATCTCATGTATTTAGACATGTTATCAGGAGGGACCAGTCCCTGGAGAAGGACATCATGCTTGGTAAAGTGGAGGGTCAGTGAAAAAGAGGAAGACCCTCAACTAGTTGGATTGACACAGTGGCTGCAACAATGGGCTCAATCATAAAAAACATTGTGAGGATGGCGCAGGACTGTGGCAGGGTTTCATTCTGTTGTGCATAGGGTCGCTATGAGTCGGAACTGACTTGATGGCATCTAATAACATCAACAACAACAATCTTGACAGGAGTAGATTGCCAACTATTTTCTCCTATAGAGTAGCTGGTAGGTTGGAACCACCAATGTTTCAGTTAGCAGCCGAACTCTTTAACTGTTTGCCACCAGGACTCCTTCCATAATGCCTACGATGAATCAAAAACTGTGCTAAGTATTGACTATAATGATGAAAAAACACTATACTTACTTTTAAGGAACTTACACTCAGGTGAGCAACATATTCAAGTAAATAAGAATGCACAATATGATGTGCTATGGCAGGGGTAGATAGAGGGTAATATGAAAGACCCCGGGGAGGAACATCTAAAGCAGCCTTGGCTGTTTAGGGTAGTGGCTAGGAGCACAGACTTTGGAGTCAGTCAGTACCAACTTAGGACACCTGGTAGCTGTATCATCTGGGAAGTTTACTGTCCAAACTACAGTTTTCCCATCTGTAAATCTGGGCTAATTATAGAACCTATTTTTTAAGTTCATATGAGGATTAAATGAGATGATGAATTTCAAGCAATGGCTCTTCTCTCCTTCTTGATCCTCACCTTTGAAGGCTCTGAAGACATGCTCTGGATGAAATGATGTTCTTAGTCTTAAGGTATGAGTAGGTGTTAGCCAGGTGAGGAGAGGAAGTAAGATGACAATCAATACAGAGGAATGAACACATTCAAGGTGTATAATTGAAAGATAAAAATGACATGTTGGGCGAACTACAAGTGGTTTAGTTTGGTTGAAACACAGTATATGGGGATGACGGATGGAGAGTGTGGCAAGGAGACTCAGAGGAGGAGTAACTGTAACGTGGAGGCGCAAGAGCAATAGACAAGGGGGCTGGGTCCTACTTGGAGGGCCTTGCATGGCGTGATAAGATATTTGAACTTTATTTTACAGGTAAGAAATTTTGGATTTGAGAGTGACATGATGTGACAAATAGCCTTTAAAAAAAATGACCTCCCTTTGTGAGATTTTAGAACAGTGTTTCTTAAAGTTTGGTCTGGAAATCTTCTGGAGTATTTATTATAAGCGCCGTTTCTGGCAGGGCTTTGAACCGATTCATTCCAGTAGGAAACCCTGCTGAGAATTTTTATTTCTAACAAGTTCCCAGGGATGCTAAAGCAGCTGGTTAGGGACCGATTCTGAGAACCAATAGTGGAGCAGTGGTTTGCAAAATGTATTGTATGTTTAGAATCACATGGGGATCTTGTTAAAATGTAGATTCTGATTCAGTATATCTGGGGTGGAGAAGTAAATTCCCAGCAGGGTTTCTAACTGGAATGAACCGGTTCAAAGTCCTGGTTTCTGGGACTTCAGTGGAATCTCTCAGGTTGAAATGGAAATAGGCAGTTTTAATGAGACCTCAATTCTTCTGTACATGAAAGTTTGAGAACCACTGCCCTAGAACATTGTAGCCCTGGTGGCACAGTGGTTAAGTGTTCAGCTGCTAACCAAAAGGTCAGCAGTTTGAATCCACCAGCTGCTCCTTGGAATCCCTATGGGGCAGTTCTACTCTGTCTTATAGGTTCACTATGAGTTGGAATCAACTCGACAGCAACTAGTAGTGGTGGTGCCCTAGAACATAGCTTATTTCTCAGCCAGAAACCTTGAGACAAACCAGGCAGCAATCAACCTTTGGGGAAAACAGAGTTTCTACGGGCTTTTTGAAGTAATTAGAGCTGTTTGGCATAGCTATCAGGTATGTATTCATTTATAGGTGAAGGTCCTCTCTAAGAACAAGGATGTGTTAAAAAGAACTTAAGAGAAAATAGCAAATGCTCTTGTAAAGACAGTTTGACACATTTTTGAAGTGGTAATTACAGTTCTGTGTAGCTTTCACCTGTGTGCAGGTGTTGATGAATCTCCTTTATATAGATTGAAGTAAAATTCAGAAAAGTCATAAGAATAGTTTGACCCAACAAATCCCCTGGTAGTATTTTTTCTCAAACATCAAAAGTGTAAATAAGTACCATCTATTTGTGGCAGATGGACTGCTCATCCAGGAGAAGAAAAAAACGTATTTTTTTAATAAATGCACAATTCTAATTTTATTAAATATTTAAGTTATTAAAACTATTAATTTATTTAAGCTTCACTTTAAAAGTTTTCATTCTCAAAATTTATAACTTAGAGAAACATAACTAGATTTTGTTTGAAGTGTTTTAATTTCATCTGAAGTGGACCTCTCTCTTTTGAGCAATTCGTGATGTCTCCGTCTTCTAAAGAGAAGTATTCTTTCTTCCTAATCGGAAAGTAAGGAGTATGGCATCTCCATTTGACAAAAACAATTGTCTTTCTTGTAGTAGACAATCCTGTCTAATGAAAAGGATGTATTACCTCTAAAGGCGAATAGGAATGATGTGCTTTTACATCAGGATAACGGATGGAAACCACCTCTGGAGAAAACAAAAAAGCAAAAAATCCAAACTATCTCATATAGACATTTTCACTTGATTGTGAATTCCTGGAAGGCACTGTCTCCTGCAGAACTTAGTTATAGCTTTCAATAAATATTTTAAAAAGTCAGGAGACTACTTTCATGCTATCACTAACTACTCAAAAGTGTAAACACGGCCAAATTTTTCTCTTTCACCGGTGAGGTCACCATCTTTAGTCTCCAGTACTATTTATCTATCATCAGTGTGTAATCTCTCCTTAGGCAGGATTAACTCCTTAATGTCCATAGTGTTGTTTAGGCCCTTTTCCATAACTGAAATGCCTTGTTTTCCTTTGTCCATTTATCCATGTTGAGCCCATCTACCAGGTTGTGATTGGTTCTCTAATTTCATGTAAAACCAAAAAAACAAACCCATTGCCATCGAGTTGAGTCCAACTCATAGAAACCCTATAGGACAGAATAGAACTGCCCATAGGGTTTCCAAGGCTGTAAATCTTTACGGAAGCGGACTGCTACATCTTTCTCCTGCAGAGCAGCTGGTGGGTTCAAACCGCCGACCTCTTGGTTAGCAGCCAAGAGCTTAGCTACTGTGCCACCAGGGCTCCTCTAATTTTATGTATTTCCTATTTTATGTATTTTGTCTTATTCTACAGAATTCAGAAAAGATGATATGTACCAAAATACTAGACATAGATACTTCTTGATGGATAGCAGCTTAATCAATTGTATACATTTTGTTTCTAGAGAATGTGGAATTCATTTTCTTCTTTATTTTGTTCTTTTAAAGAAGCGATCAGGTTTTTTTCTGGAAAATAATCCTACGTACCAACTTTGGAAGGCTGGCTACTACACAGTAGTATACTTTCCAGAAGAAGATATCACTATTCTTTGGGATAAAAAAACAACCATTCATATCAAAGTTGGACCACGGTGGAAGGTAGGTCAGTCTAAGCTCTAAATGAGATGCAATAAATGAATTATGTTTTCCCTTTTACATTGATATACTTAACAAAAGTCAGTTTTTCTGAAATTGATATTGAGACTCATGGATATAATCTGTACCTAATTAGAGAAAAAACTGCATAGTAACAACATATTTCATAAAACTGTGGAAAAGTTACTTTTTTTGGGAAAAGATACATATTAAAAATGGTGCAAATGGTTAAGCACTGGACTGCTAGCAAAAAGGTTGGCAGTTCGAACCCAGAGGTGCCTTGGAAGACAACCCTGGTGATCTGCTTCTGAAAGTTCATAGCCTTGAAATTCCTGTGGAACAGTTCTACTCTGCACACATGGGATTGCCATGAGTCAGAGTTGACTTGATGGCAACTAACAACAGCAACACATTTAAGATATGATTGTATATTGGAGCTAATATTTATTATTACCTTGAGAGTTAGAGTGTGGAGAAAAATGTGGCAGTCTGCTTCCATAAAGATTACAGCCTTGGAAACCCCATGAGGCAGTTGCACTCTGTCCTATAGGGTCACTATGAGTCAGAATTGACTTGACAGCAGTGGGAAGCATCATTAATGAAGAGCCGCATTCCATTCTTCAGTACATGAAGAGAGAGTTCAGGATCTTTAAGTTAAAGGTATTAAGGAAGAGCTCCATTGTTTTTGGAAGGTTATCTATCTCTGCATTCTTACTCTATGCTTCATTGTTTTTAGAAGATTATCCGTCCCTGCACTCTTACTCTATCTCTTTCCCCTAAGACTAAAGTTTTCCACATTATTTTGAGAAAATCCAATGGGTGTTGTTGATGTGGAAAGTCCATGTGGCAATTGCAGTGATGATTTCACAACTCATAACAAGCTGTATAAAAAATTAGGTAAAATCAGAATCTAGACTAGAATTTAGAGTTCATTGATTTTTGTGCCATGGTAGTATGATTTATGAATATTAAAGGTAACTTCTTTTTAAAGCTGTATTTGAATATTTTGGCTTTTCAAAGTACAACCTATAGAAATATTTCAACATTTGTAGCATTATCAAGCCTGAAACATATCGGGAGGTGACCCTACCATCATTACAAAAATGTTATATATATACACACACATATATACATAAATTATATCTATGCATAGACATATATGTGTGTAAATATGCTTGTATTACACTGTACATTGTACTCACTAGAGCTTGTATTATACTTTTCCAAGTTACTTATGTTATTAGTTGTATCAGTGCTAAGATGTTGGTGTGAATACATAAAATGTGGAGGATGGTAAAATATTTTTGAAAGTAATTGATAAATATAATTAAATAGATATATTGTTGTTAGGTGCTGTTGAGTTGGTTCTGACTCATAGGGTCTAACTGATAAATATAATTAAATAGATACATTGTTGTTAGGTGCTGTTGAATTGGTTCTGACTCATAGTGACCCTATATACAATAGAACGAAGCGGTGCCCAGTCCTGCACCATCTTCACAATTGTTACTATGTCTGAGTCCATTGTTGCAGCCACTGTGTCAATCCATCTCATTGAGGGTTTTCCTCTTTTTCGCTGACCAAGCAAATAGACTTTACCAAGAAAATAGGTATAAAACACCACTTTCTTCAAATGTTTATTTTTTTAAATGGTCACTGTGGAAATTCGTAATATCTTTCAGAAGTTTTAGGAATATGATTCCTTAAGTGTTAAAGTGATTATAGACTATTTCATGGTAATTTTCTTTTACTTTAGAACAAACTATCAGGATTGTGTGGAAACTTTGACAAATGTACTTCAAATGACATGACCACGTCGAATAGCTTGGAAGTGAGAAATGCCCAGGTATTTGGAGATAGCTGGGCATTAGGACAGGTAAGTTAAACACAGTGTATATATTTTAGAAGTAAACAAATGTTATTTAGCATGTCTATTCACTAGAACATTTTATTCTTACAGGACAGTTTATTAGGTAATATTTTAAGTAATATTTGTATAGTAATTCACAGTTGATAAATTACTTTCACATTTATCTTCTCATGTAATTCGTATGACAATAATGACTATTATCTCCAGATTATAGATGAAGAAATTAAGGCTCAGGGAGATTAAGTGACTTGTCTAATATTATATAGCTAGGAAGTAGCATAGGTGACAATCAAACTCACATTCTCATCCAATCTCATGCTTTCTTCAACATGGCAGAATGCTTTATCAATACATCTGTATTTCTAAGAATGATGTAACTTTTGCCATCTCAAAGCAATGAATAAATGAAGGCAGGATTTCCCAAAGTTTGTTCTTCAGAACATCACTATTTCATACTAGTTATTAGCAGTCATTACATAAAAATAAAGGGGTGTGTGTGTGTGTACTGAGGAGAAAATTTATGGTCAACAACTTTTGGGAGAGGTTTGAATAACCTAAGTTAGACAGAGTTCTTTCTGAGGATTTCTTGAGCCATTATAAGCCTCCAGTGGAGGGATATGTTTGAAGGATTTCCCAAACTTACTGACACAGAACCTATGTTTTTATTTATTATTTCTTAAGGAAGTACTGTTCTCTGAAACACACTGAGAAATAGTGAACTATCTCAGAACGACAGTCAGATTGGATATTGGTTCTACTCTTTTCCTTTACTTTTTTTTTTTCAGCCTGTTTTTTTCTTTTTAACTGAAACAAGTGTCTGCAACCACAGTTTCTTGTTTGGCTGCTGTATCAGTCGGGGTTCTCCAGAGAAACAGCAACAATCAGAGACTGTGTGTGTGTGTGTGTGTGTGTGTGTGTGTGTGTGTGTGTGTGTGTGTAAGGAGACTTATTTTACGGAATTGGCTCACACAGTAGTGGGGCCTGGAAAGTCTAAGAGCAGGTCACACCCAAAAACCTGTTGCTGTGGAGTTGGTTCTGACTAGTTGATCAACAGACTAGAACTCCCCCATAGGGTTTCCAGAAAGCAGCTGGTGGACTTGAACTGCTGACCTTTTGGTTAACAGCCAAGCTCTTAACCACTGTGCCACCAGGGCTCCTAAGGCAGGCTGGTAGGCTGCAAACTCAGCAAGAGTTGAAGCTTTAGTCTTGAGGCAAAATTTCTTTTTCTCTGGGAAACCTCAGTTTTTGCTCTTAAGGCCTTCCAACTGAGTGGAGGAGGCCCACCTACATTATTGAGGGTAATCTCCTTTATTTTGAAGTAAACTGATGTTAAGCATACTTAGAAAATACCTTTACTGCAACACCTAGATTAGTGTTTATTAAATAACTGGTAGTCAAATTGACACACAAAACTAACAAACACAGTTACCGTTTGGTTTGTTGCTTCATCACGTTGCCTAATTTGCCTAATATGTCTAAGTCTTTTTTAAAAAAAATAAACAAAGGAGCTGGAGTAAAACATTTACCCCATTCAGTAAAATCTGAACAGTATATTTCAGTGTGGTCTAAGATTAAGAGTGTAAAGATTTTATTCTTTTAATATATAAAGTATCTATTATATTGAGAGAGGAAAAATTCTTTTAATTATGGCTTTCATATGCCTTGCTGCCTTTAGAAGTTTTATTTTACATTTATCCTATTTGTAAATAAATAAAGGAATAACTAATTTCTAATAATACTCAATATTAACTATTGAATAATTTTGAACCCCCCAAATTCAAATCTTTTTTTTTTTATTAGTTGCATTTTATTTAGCTCTTAATGTTTTCCTGGTTATATGAACACATAAATAAAACACAGCCTCTACCCTTAAGGAATTAAGGTCTAGGTTAGTAGGTGAGGTAGAAAAATTAACAATGAAAATATAGTGAGATAAGTGCTTTGATAGAAAACCAAAAAAACCAAACCCGTTGCCATCGAGTTTGATTTTGACTCATAGCAACCCTGTAGGAAAGAGTAGAACTGCCTCAGGGTTTCCAAGGAGTGGCTGGTGGACTCGAACTGCCAAGCTTTGTGTTAGCAGCCAAGCTCTTAACCGCTGTGCCAGCAGGGCTTGAAGTGCATACTAAATGTAAATTGTGATAGTAAAGGGAGTTTCCTGGAGAACCTGCCTCTGAGCTGAATCCTATAAAATTTATAGGATCTGGGCAAGTGAAAATTATGAGAAAGATTATAACAGGGAAAGAGGGAGCAGCCATCTAAAGGTGCCAGGAAGCTGGCGAGAGTATGGTGCCTAAAAGGAAATTCAAGAAGTTTGGTATGATTGTGCTATAGGGTTTGAAGTTGTGAATGGCTGGAATGCAAAGTGTAGAGCTGCAAGATACAAGGGCCAGGTCCTGGACTAAAGATCCAAAGACTAGTGAGGAGGCTTTAGCTAGAAATGTTGAGTCAGTGAAGATTTAGGAAACTATACAGTTGAGAGGCCTTAAAGATGAAAATCATCACTATTTGTTGAAAGATTATGTTTGGAAGGATGAATATGGAGGATTCCAAGAAGTCTCCTACCTTCCTGGCTCGGTGGGTAGATGATGGTGGTCTTTACTAAGGCAAGGCAAAGAGAAGAAGAATAGGTTTGTGGATGGTGGGAGAGAATGGGGACAAAAATCTTGACTGGAGGTACAGATTTGGCAGTTATAAGTATATTCAGGTTGTTGAAGCCCAGACAACTATAAAGAATGAGAAAAGTAGATGTTTGAAGATCAAACATTGCAGAGGAGGGAGGAAGAAAGAGATTGGAGAGCAACAGCCCATGAAGTAGGAAAAAACCCAGCAGAAAATGGTGTCTCCAAAACCAAAAGAGGGCAAAGTATTAAATAGAATTGAGGTGGAGAAAGGACAAGTGAGATGAAGGCTGAAAAGTTGCCTTTATGTTTAGTAATTAAGAGGTCATTGATGAACTTTCCCAGGGAAGTTTCAAGGAGGTGGAATAGAGGAGGCAGAGGTCAGATTGTTGAGTGTATGGAAGGTGAGGCTGTAGGGACTTGAAGAAGGATTGTGATGAAAATGTAAAAGGTGAAAAATGAAAGAGCTCCATTTGCTCATGTAACTTTTTTAGCCATGTAAATACCGTATTTTAAGACAATTACAATGATTTTACCTACACACTATCTCTAATATCACCATGATTTTAGTATTATATTTTGTTGCCTTCAAAAACAGTACATGCCATTAACATCAAGTTAGCTGGAGCAGATGCTTTAGATAAAGTCTTTCTAAAAGGATGAGAATATATGAAATGCACTTGTGGTGGACAGTCAGGTAAGTTTTTCTGGTTTCAGTTTCAGAAATCACTCTTTTAACAGTTTCATTTTTTTCTCCCTTAATTTTTTTAACAGTGTGAAAGCCCAATGGAAACAATTAAACCCTGTGAGGCACAGCAAAACAAATTTCCTTATGCCAAGAGAGAATGCTCAATTTTGTACAGTGATGTTTTTGCTCCATGTCACAATGTGGTAAATGAATACTTTACTAAACTCTCAGATTTAAAGAAGTACTGCTTCTATAATATTGAGGTGAACTGGACAAATAATTTAGCTACCCATTGGCTTTTAAGTATACTGCTTAACCATTTTTAGGAGGACAATTTTTTTAGTTTGCTTTTCCATAGAAGTGATGCATTAATTGATTTACTTATTCTGCCTTCATCTCATTTAACATCATATATTTGTACATTACATTTGTAGTAAATTATTTTAGTTCATAAAGTATTTTTGTATAGATCGTTTTATGATCGAGGCATAAATGTATAGTAGTGGTTAGTTGGAAATAATTGTGTAGTCTGTAGTTAAAGGAGTTAAGGGGTAGAGTCTGCATTGGTGGACATAGAGAAATTGAAATTTGAGGTTATTAAACTTATTAACCCAGAAAATTATTTAAATACAGTTTATTAGATGGTAATATTTGGTGCATTGCTTCACTTAGCATCCCTGAATTCTAACTTATGCCATGGTAGCTCATCATTACTACTCCCAAACTCATTTCTTAACTCTTAATGAGTTACCTCTGATAACAATTAGCTACTCTATGCAAGGTGAGCATATTTCTGCAGATGAGTCTCTCACTGATCATGTTGATTTGTCTTCAGAGAACATTACCAAATGAGCATTCTTCTCATCCCAAAGTATAGTTTAAAAGTATTACTAGTGACACATTTTAAATGGTTTTACGAGCATATCCCAAGATAGAATGTAATTTATTTAGAAATTTAACTTCCTAAACTCTTTCCCAGTATAATAATTCTAGTTCCCAACAAAAATTTCAAAAAGCTTAAGATTTGAAAAATCGAGGGAAAGCACAATTGGAAGCAGACTATGCTTTTCTTTTAATGTCATATGAATATGCTAGTAATGAAACAATGAACTTCAAAAAAATACTAATCTGCTGTATTACAGATACTGAAATATTTATTCGTTAATCTTATTAGTTGTTTCTCCAGATCTTTGATATTACATTTGCATTATATATTTCTTTCTTCTTTGGCAATACAGAGGTAAAGGTATTGAGAAGTCTCTAAATGACAGTGTTAAGCTGTCAAATTTTGAAAACATACCAGTTAATTTTCTTTTGGAAGGTTGAGTTTAATCAATTATAGTCAGTAGTTATTGAAGTTAGATCATCTTTCACTTCATTTTTAGATTGATGTTACTTCTTTTGCCAAAAATTGCCATGAAGATACATGTAATTGTAATCTTGGTGGAGACTGTGAATGTTTATGTACGAGCATCGCAGCGTATGCATACAAATGTTGTCAGGAAGGCGTATCAATTCACTGGAGATCATCTACTACTTGTTGTGAGTACTGTGCTTAGAACATCATTAAATGAGAACCTTGTAAGGAGATCCATATTAATTGTTCCCTTATCAATAGAACTAATTCCATGAAAGACATGGAAATAGAATTTATTATTTAAGACAACTGATTTTTATATTCCTTTGACAAAGTAGACAAATGGTATTATATCAAAAGGATTTATAAAAAGAAAAATTTGAGGTAAATTTTCTATTCTATCTTTTAACTGCTGTCATTGTAACATTTGAACTGTAAATTATTTATAAACTATCCTCAGAGAAATGGTTTATGACTTTAATCCTCTTATGCCTGTGCAGTTTCACTCCGTTCTGGTTATAAGAAACCTATTTTTTACAAAAAAAAAAAAACTAATATTGGATTTGCTTGTAGATTGGACTTTTAAAATTTTTTAGTTTACCTGTGTAGATAGTAAGTCATCTGAACAATACTTAATGATTTTAACGTTTTAAGTTGACATTTCTGAATTGACAGATATATTTGCCTACCTCTAAAATACTCTTATAAAAACACATCATTCTTAAAGAATCCCCTTTGATCAAAGGAAGTTTCCAAATGATTATCTTACTCTATGTTCTTTCACTTGGTTATAGATAAATATATGGCCATATACTGTATACATTCAGCTAACAGGTCAGTTTCTTATATAGATTAATATATTTTTTTCCCTTTTTTAGCCCTTGATTGTGAATATTACAATGAAGGTATGTGACATTTTAATAAAGAATATAACTATAGTATTCTGTTAAGTGTATTTTCATATTAAAGTCTGTGAAAAACTTGTGCTGGGAAAAAGTACAAATAGTTCACAATTTGTTATATACTCTATGAAAGCCTTCACTAATTAAATTTATTCAAATTTCTAAGTACTTTTGTTAAAATTTATACCTTTAAATAATAAAAGTGTGTGTAACTCAGTTCCCAACACTTAGGAGGTACTGAACACGTAGCTTTTGAATGATATGAATGGATGGATGAGTAAAGTTTGTTAATTTTTTAGGTAAAGAGGATAAAATACATATACTAAGGGTATACATTTTACCATTATGGAAAAATATGGACATTGTTCAAATTTTATTATACCATGGAAATCAAAGAAACAAATTGTAAGTGAGATAAAAATAACAAAGAATTTGTTTAGCCATAACTTTAGGCAAAAATAATTATTTACATATTAACAGGATGAGAACTTATTGATAAGGTAAAAGTGAGTCTCCCAGAACTACCAAAAAAGAAAAGAAAAAGACTTAATAATCATGTAAGTGAGGTTTTGAAGTATACCTGTGACTAATTCGAGGAGCCCTGGTGGTGCAGTGGCTTGGCTGCTAACTGAAAGGTCACCAGCCATTCTGTGGGAGAAGGATGTGGTAATCTGCTTGCATAAAGATTACAGCCTTAGAAACCCTATGGGGAAGTTCTATTCTATCGTGTAATGTCTCTATAGGTGGGAATCGCCTCGATGGCAACAGGATTGGTTTTTTGTTTTGGTGACTAATATAAAACATTATACGTAATTTTGAAAAGCACATTTCTTTATTATATTGAATCAGTAGTTGTAAATTTTATCTGCCAGCTCAGTGTTATTCACTTAGTACCCTGCAGTGATTAAATCTTTAGGTTTTCAGATGGGTTTCTCAGTAATAACAGAGTGACAATGTCTGAATGTTTCCAAGTGGTTTTTCTTCCCGTTCTCCTGTATGGACAGCATCCCAACCAGCAGATAAGCAACATGTGGATGTTCGCTTGGTCGTCTCATAATAACCTAATAGTTTACTGCACTGAGATCAATGCCTATGTTTTCTCTCTGTGTTGGCCTCAACCTTAATTTTGTATGCTGTTAGGCCTTTGTCCTTCGGTACTATCTCATCACATGGCATAGCTTGGGGTGACTTGTACCCTACATCAAATGTTGGCATGAATAACAGAGAAGGGGAAATCTGGGGAATTAGTAGCAGTTTGGCAGGTGTGTAATTTTAGAGTGAGGACAGATGTGGCTCATACCCTTCCCAGCATCCAGAACCATCATTAGTGCAGCATATTCAAACATGCGGGAGTTGGCACAAAATGACAAACAGATCAGCAGTTTCAGGGAACAAACACTAAATTGGATGAGAAAGCGATGTTTGGGCTAGATAGCTAGCAGATCAAATACAAATACATCCAGTTAATAATACTACAGTTTACTAATTGCTTATTATGTTCAAAACATTGTGCTAAGCACTTCACTCATGTTTTATTTACTCTACCTATGAGTTTAGAGTTGATGAATCTTATTTTATAGATGAGGAAGTTAGCGCCGATCAAAGTTAAATAACTTACTCAAGGTAGTTAAGTGGTAGAACCACGATTCAATTCCACTTCTAACAGACTTCAAAACCCAAACTGTTAATCTCTACCTTAAAGTGCCTCAATAAACAAATATTTCTTGAACATCTATCATACGCCCAATACTGTTCATCTTTTTTGTGAATAGGCAATAAGATGTGGTAGATGAATATGTGGGCTTAGAGCCCTTTGGAGGGTTTGGGATCATATATACCTGGGGTTCTGGTCCCAGCATCTATAGTAGCGTGACTTCTGGGAGATGACATTTGAGTTGACTTGAATGTCGAGAAGGAAACTGCCATCCCATGATCCTGGAAGACAGTGTACAAAGAAGAAGGAAAAGAAAATTCTAAATTTCTGAAATGAGAGAAAAATTGACAATTGTTTGGAACAAAAATGAAGCCAGGGAAACTGTATTATGGTCAACAAGTGTGAGGATGAAGTGAGATGAGGTCAGAGGGAGCAGGAACCAGATCATGTAGGGCCTTGCAGGCCAAGGTAAGGGATTTTCTTTTATTTTTGTTGCAGTGAGAAGTCTTTGGGGAACACTAAAGAGGGGAGAAGCATGATGTGATTTTAACTTTATAAAGATCATTCTGGCTGCTGTGTGAAGGATATACTGTAGGAAGGGAGGTGGAAGAATGAAAACTGGAGACTGTTGTAAGAGCTGAAGTGAGATATGGTGGCTTCAACACGAGTGATAGCAAAGATGGGAAAAGAAGTTGATTTGGATATGAATAGGGGAAGTGTTGTATGGTCTGTAGGACTCAATGATGGACTGAATCATGGAGTGTGAGAGAACAAAAGGAGTCAAGGATGACTCTAAGATTTTTGTCCTGAACAACTGATGAAAGGAGTTGCCATCTACTGAAATGAGGTAATCTGGGGCTGGGTTGGAGCAACATCTTTAGGAAGTTGAGAGTGGATGTGATTCAGAGGTCAAGTAGAGCAGCTGGCCTTAGGTAGGTGTGACATTTTCTTCTTTCTAACAGAATGGAAAGCAAAGTATGTGGTGCAAAAGCATATAAATTGGTGAAAATTGGTGATGGAAAGATGATAGTTCTTAAGGTTTCTATTTTCACTATAAGGTTAAGAGAATAGGCGATCAGCTACAAAGTGTCGTGTGGAGAGGTGATAATGAAGACTTGAGGAGAAAGAAGGTATGAAATAATCTTTTGGTAAGTGAAATTACTAGGAAATTTCTAGCAAGGTTGAGTATATGTTTGATTTTTTGTTGTAATCATTTTGAAGTTCTCCTGGTTGCTCAGGTCTAGATGACTGCCTGATTTTTCTACAGTTAATTTCAGCTACTCAGATGCAAGTCTGAGATAGATTTGTTGGGATTTTCCATGTGGGTATATGCATGCAGAAGCTGGATAATGAAAAATGATGCATTTGAATTGTGGTGTTGGCAAAGAGTATTCAATATATCATGGACTGCAAAAAGAATGAACAAATCAGTCTTTGAAGAAATACAACCAAGATACTTAGAAGGGAGGATGGCAAGACTTCAACTCGCTTACTTTGATACATCACCAGTAAAGACCAATCCCTAGAAAAGGACATCATATTTGGTAAAGTAGAGGATCAGTGAAAATGAGGGAAACCCTTAATGAGATGGATTGACACAGTAGCCACAACAATGGACTCAAACCTATCAATGATTGTGAAGATGGCACAGGACTGGGCGGCGTTTCATTCTGTTACACATAAGGTCGCTATGAGTGGGAGCCAACTAGATGGCAACTAACAACATGACAAGGAAGGGGTAGGGCCAGCAAGTTAACAGTGTGTATAAGTGTGTGATTATAATGGCAGAACAAGGATTCTAATTTGGATAAGTAGAAAAATGAAGACACAAAGGGTGATAAAAAGTGGAAAATGATAGGGTTTCACTGAGATTGGAGTATTATAGGAGTGAGTACCAGAGGAGTGAAGCAGAAGGACTGGCAGTGATGGTTAGATAGTGAGTGTTCCACAGAAACATCTTTGAGGATTCAGTTATTGAAGATGAAAAGGTCTAGTTTCTGACTGTGTGAGAGGGTAGCTCGTGTGGTGTGAAACTTAAGAAGTCAAGGAGGAGTTCATGAATCTCCAATTTGTTGTCTCTGATATTTCATCTGATCATAAATTTGATATTTTTGTCACTGTAAGAATCAGAGTGTCACTCTTCTATGAGAAGCAAAACTGAGTTCCAATATGAGACTTTTAGAACATGAGATTGGCAACAAGAAGTCTGAGGAGGCTGCTGCCTAAAACTAAGGCATGGATGTAAGAAGAGGGAGAAAATTACATCCTCAGTGAAAATGGCAGAAGATAGCAGAACTGGAGCCTGCTTATTGTGAAATCTATTTAATGAGAACGGTATAGCCACTTAAAGCAATTCAAACAAGAGGTTCTAGGGAAGTGTCAACTCTGTCAGTGACTGGACAGATGCTGGACCCATGATGGAAAAGTTACAGTAATATTTACAGGAAAGCTGGGCCATTAAAGAACCCCGATCAATCAATGCAAGGCAGTTTAGGTGCCTTACTGAGCCAGGGAAAATCTGTCAGCTGAAGCTGTAAATGTCCAAAGATGGCTGGATAGGTTTAGAGAAAAGGAGACGATGAATTAAAGAGAAAATGTGTGCGATCTAGCTTTGGTTAATTTTGTTAATATTGATTCAAATTTTAGGAAACAAACTTCGTAATTCGATGGAGAAAAAAATTAAACATTAAAAAAACACTCTGATTAATTATATAAAAATCTAGATGAAAAATATTTCCTGTTCAGGGTTCAACACACATATACACCACCCACACCCACATATCCATACACTCCACATCGATTCGTTGGATTTCATGCTTCAAAAGTGATTGATAGTCTAGTAATAGTAAGAGTAATAAAAGTAATGGCTAAATTTTATTGTGTTAACTACTTCATTATGTTATATAATTTAAACTTAAAAAATATGCCTGTAAGATAGATCCTGTCATTATTATCAACACTTTACAGAAGAGAAAATTGAGGCACAGAGAGGTTAAAAAACTTGACCAAGGTCTCATAGCCAAAATGTAGCAACCTGGGATTTAAAAACAATCTGACTTTAGAGATAACCAGCTTGACCCGCATGCTACACTGACTAGTGTATAGCTGACATATCCTAGACTAGTGATGATCCCCATACATTGCTGCCATATGCTCTATATAATGTACACTGACACTACTTTGAGAAAATGCTCTTATAACTTTTTTACTTAAAAATTCCTACCTCACATAATGCTGCTGTGAAAATCTCCATCTGTGTCTTTGTACTCTTGAGCATTCTTGTGCAGTCCCTTGGGCCTAGAAGCAGAATTGCCTCTGAATAGTGAATCTCTACATCTTGCTATAGATT